ACATTTACACCAGCCTCTTCTGCCAAATGGATCGCCTCTGTTAGAAGACGGGCTTTTTGTTCTGCATTAATGCCATTTATTAAAAAATATCCTATTGGAATTTTCCAGGATGCATTTATTGGCACCAGCAAGAAAACAAGGGCTTCTTTAGCTTCATCTTGACAGTCCGTTTGTAAACTGGCGCCAAAACTCACGTGGCCATAGTACCTTCTGGCTTGGGGATGATATTCGACACCGCTTTTGATCGCCATTTCGTCGAATATGATAGTGGCGTAAATTTTGTTCTTAGATTCTCTGGCTTTCATTTTGATAGTATCTATTGCCTCCTTTGTAAATCCTGGTTTATCATCAATGGATTGATACCAACTTCTCAGAGTACTTGTAGCAGGTGCTGTGCTGAAAGTTTGTCTAACGAAATTATACGCTTTTGGGGAATAAAAATGCAATGTTAAAGAGAATGCTCGTAACTCCGGTGAGTATTTGATTTTGGGTATATGTCCTTTTTTTGATTTCAATATTTGGCGTAAAATGACTTAAAATGTCTTGATTTTCTTGAGTGATATAAGATTTTTTTGTCAAAGTATTCAATATTTCTTTTAGATTTGCATTTTTTTTAACCAATAATCTATTTTTATCTTGAAGCCTCTTAACCTCTTTCTTTTTTTTACTAAGGGAATATATAAGATGGTCTATATGTCGTTTCATTTTGCGTTTACGTGGAGTCAGGTCGTCAATTACTGGGTGTACTATTTCTTTGTTACTTATTGTTGAACTCTGAAAAATAATAATATATAAATATAATAAATAAGAAAAGAAGAGGTAATAAGAAATATTAATATTGAATTATGTAGAAATATTATTTGAGAAGAATATAAAAATGAAGCTTACGGGAATTTCATAATCATGGGAAGGCCTGAAAATGTTACTATCATTAAATGGAAAACAATGCAAAGGAGTCTGGGCTTCAGTTGATGTATGAGCTTCAGAATGCACTTGTTTATTTGATAATGAACTCTGTAATTAAACATGTCGGATATCAATAAACGCAGTCACATAAAATTTATCCCATGGACTTATCATCGAAACAAATTAACTAACGAGGGCGATATTGTGACGCGAAGGCTACCTGGGCCTTCGCGTCACAATATCGCATTAGTATAAGAGTCAATCATACTATTTGGTAAATCCTGTAAAGAATGAATATTTCTTATATTCACAATTTCACTTTTCCTAACATTATATCAATAAAAACAAAACTTACCAAAATAGGCAAAAACAACGTTGGTATCGCTGAACTAAATAGACGGCGGCGTTCTTTTAAATATTTAAAACAATCGGGGGTGAAGTGCCTTGAACAAACAGCGCTGTATTTTGTTGGAAACCAATTTTCCCTATTAACCTTATCTATCCACTTTTCTTTTAGTTCTGGAATCTTCGTAAATCTAAAATAAAAACATGTATGTCAAACACACAGACGAAAAAAACCTGTTTACATCAGCGTCCTCAAAAATTACATAAAAAATAATTATTGTGCAAAACAACAAATAGAACATTATCAAATTCATAGTGCGTTATCAAATTCACTATCATTTTAAGACTGTCTTCCCCGAAATTGTAGCGAATCCAAATGAAATTTGTATTAATTTATTGTTATCTGTGGATTCGTAATAATTGGGTGTGAAATCACCCGACCGCAGTGGGACCTATCGGTCCCAGCGGTGTATGAAGCTATAATTATCTTGGACCGATCGGTCCCGGTCGGGGACAAAGAAATACAAAAAAATCCCGGAACATACATAAAAAAATTCCGACAAACTGAGAACCTCCTCCTTTTTTGAAGTCGGTTAAAAGTTAATAGGTGTTTTATTACACGTGAATTGAATAAAAAATTTATTAATTTTAATTTTCATATTTTCGATATCGACTTTCAGCTATTAAAGGTAACAGCACTAATTTTTACAATAAACATACGAAGGGAAAGAAAGGGATAGAAGTATTAGAATTGTCTAATGAAAGAACGAGACTTTTCCAAAAGACATCAACGCGCGTCTCAACTATGTGCTCTTTTAAATAACTTCCATTTTAAATAGACCCCTGCAGTCGCTCATAATCTGATTAAATCAAAAATAATTTTCATACTGTTTACTTACCGATGAAAAGTTATGCCATCTTTTTTGTAACTAGATGTCTTGGAATGTTTCCCACACCACTTCACCGCGCATGAAGGCATTTTGATGCGTTATAATTGCATAAAAAGTTATAAACATTTATATTAATTTAGCGTGCACACAGGTCTAACACTTGGACATTCTAAAATGGTTACTCGTACCGTAGCCTATACATAGGCGACAAAATACTAATAGTTTCCGAGCGTCGGAGCACTGTATGCGCAGTCAAGTGGTTATATTGTCATTGTCACTTATCTATTTCATATTTTTTGCTATTTACTATTGAGATAATTTTTTTCGATTCATTAATCAGTTTTTGCATCAAACCGAACGATCTTTCATTTTTGTTTTCTTAATTGCGAGCAATAAGCCTAGGATGGCTAACGCATCGTCATCCGTCACTAGTGACGCCATGGTTTCAACTGATGGGGCATCATGCAAACTTGACGGCGAAATCGAGCGTAAGTTGTCTATATGGATGCACTGCAAACTGGACGCCGCTTCAAGCGCGCTGTAAACTTGACGGTAAACTTGATCGTGTATGGCATCCATAATACTAAAAAATGACACAAATCCGAAATATATCCTATAGGACATAAGTCACCTCTTGACTATTTTGTTACTAATGTCCGGTCTATTACTACTACTACCTATATGTCTTTGGTAAGAGTTGACTATTTTGTTGCTGATGTCCGGTCTATTACTACTACTACTTAAGAGGCGTATTACAAAAAAAAGCGAAATTACAAGGTTTCCTCGTTGAAATTGTATGTTTATCGTTCGTTGCTTGAAATAAAAACTACTTGGTAAAAGTAGTTCCTTTTCTCTTCTCAAATAAGCTCAAAGCGAATTTTAGATAACTTATTTATTTATTCAGTAATAATCATTCTCCCGATGCATGTTTAGGCAAAAACTCTCGAAGACATGATTTCGGAGCTCTAATTTGTAGATTCTATTGATTATCGATCATCAAAAAAAATATTTTTATCTCCCAAATATCCTACACTTTAATAATTATAGAATACATTTTCATTATATGCCTTTCGTGGTTGGAGAAAAAAATCGACTTAATTCAAAAAACGACCGAAAAAGCTTCGAAACAAGCCTCAATATTTCCGAAACTCTACATCATTTAGACGTAAAATTTACACCAAAATAATCATAACATTTGCTTAAACTACACTATTATTTTTACTTTTTAAATCGTTACTATTATATTTTAATTAATTAAATAAAAGTACCATATATTTCACTGCACCGGCCATCTGTGATCACTGTAGCGCGAGCGCTTGTTGAGGTTGGACCTGCGTCAATTTATTTCGCTCGCTGCGTCGTTTCGATACTATAGTAGTGTGCGTCGATTACCTGCGTGCTAGAACATCGTCAACTACGACCGCAGTTTTGATCGATCGGTTTAAAACTATTTTATATAGTTATAATTTCGATCACGTCTCTTCCATCAAACATGGTAGGGACAACGAGTCTGTAGCATTGGCACAATTGAGCAAACAAGAAAATATTATTATAGAAAAATGTGGTCTATTCATTGACCTAGAACCTAGATCTTTGTTATTTGAGGGCTTCATCTAATGGTTTATACAGTTACGGTCTTATTGAAGTAAATGTCGTATTTCAGCTATCGGAATAGATTTTGACACTGCCTTTCGACCAAAAAAAGATAAAGGTTATAAATTCAATGCTTCAAGTGTAACATTAAATCAAAATCATGACTGGTTTTACCAAATCCAAGAACAGCTTCATTTAGCAAATAAAAATGTCTGAATACTTGCCATAATATGTACTGGCCAGGACGACCAGTTTTAGATTTTCAATATGTTACCCAAGTTACAAGATTTTTATGAAAAGTGTGTACTGCCTGAAATTATCGACTCGAGAAAAGTTCGGTCAGTGCCGTCGCAGCAAATATTTTTGTAATAAAAAAATATGGTAATTGACTAAGTACCGATAAAAAAAATATTAGTTACATTTGGTTGTTTTATTTATTAAAACAGGTTGCAACCGTACTATTTATTTATTTGTACCACTATTCTACCGGCAGTAGACATAATCGATTATTAACATTCGATTACTGCGTAACAATGAAAATATTTATGTACTATATTATGTACTGAACTGAATGGTACTATGACACTAAATTTCATATATAATGAAAAATATATCAAAATAGTTTATAATTAATAAGAAAACATTAAAATGACATATCAAGGAAAATTTCCATCCACTAAACTCCATGCTAAGAAAACTTGTATTATGGAAGATCAAGATCGTGTAATCGCCATACTCACAGTATTATAGTGCGAGCGAGTCAATAGATATGAAAGAAAATATCGGTCGCGTCATATATTAGTCTATGGGTCGCGTAGCTCGCCGCCCGCTCGGTGCGTAAACTACCTAAATTTGCGAAACGCCGAAATGTAAGAGGGCTCTTAAGGCTGGCTTTTCACTATGGGATATAATATATATTATTATATCCCGAAATATAAATTATATCCCGCGATTGGCTTTCACACTGTGAAAGCCAATCGCGGGATATAATTTATAACCTTTCTTTTAACCAGTGTGCGTTCGTCATTGGTCACTGGATTTACTCCGTACACCGTTCTGCGGGGGCGCGGAACGGTGTGCGGGGTACAAGGGCGAAATACCTAGTCAGGTCATAAATTCTGTCACATGTTTAATATAAAATAATTGAAACAAGTTTATTCATTATGTAACCATTTATATAGCAAAATTAACTTAACAAAACATAGATTCTTATGACACTAAAGTTTTTTCAAAATGACCTCCATGATTTTGAATACAGGCCTTCAATCAGCGCGGCCAGTCGTCTATCGCAGTACGAACGAGGTCCATGTCAATATCGGTGGCTGCCTTAATCAAGGATATCTTGAGTGACTCCAAATTGGGATGAGGCTTTGAGCATGCCTTTTCTTCCAAGTGTTGCCATATCTTGTAATCTAACGGATTCAAATCTGGACTGGAGAAGGGACAGTCTTCGTGCCGCATGAAGTCGATTTCACGCGCCGCCAGCCAGTCTTGTGTGCTCTTCGCTCTATAAGCTGGCGCCGAATCTTGTTGGAGTACCCAGTGCCTGTTATTGAACATGGTATGAGAAACAGGTTGCACAAGGTTCGTCAGGACTGTATTTTGATACACAACTGCATTCGTTTTTACACCTTTCTCACAAAAATGTACCTATGTTAAGCCCCAATAAGAAACTCCCAACCATACTATGGGCGAGGATGGAAAATGACCTCGTTGGACACGCGGAATACGGTTGCTCGCTTCTTCTCTACTGTGTGCATACACCTTATCATTTTGTTTGTTGTAGCTCTCTTCTACGGTAAAAATTTTTTCATCCGAAAAAAGAATTTCGCGATATTTTTTTCCCGCGTACCGCTTCAACAAAGCGCGTCATCTCTTCAGTCTCAGGTCCATTAGACGAGCATTCAAACGATGACCTGTTTTTCTTCGATATGCCCGAAGCCCTAAGTCTTAATTTAACACCCTTTTCACCGTGGTTCTGCATAACCCCATCTGAAGGGCCAACAGTTTCTGCTTACGTTTGGGATTTCTTTGAATTCGCGCCTTCACAGCTTTTATCACTGCTGGAGTCCTAACAGACCGAGGGCGACCATTTCTTGACCTGTCATCTACACTAGAGTCTTCATTGTATCGTTTGATGGTACGATAAACGAATCTTTTGGTTATATTCAAATTTTTCAGTATGTCAAAAATTTAAATTGGCGCGTAACCGCTACGATGTAACGCAATAACTGCAACACGGTCTTCTTTAAGCGTCTCCCACACAGAAGCGGCTTGCGGTGGCGGCCGCGGTGGCGGCCAATTGTATTCGCTTGTAATGTAAGTGAGCCTGCAAACTCGTGCGGCCTTGTCGCGATCTGCGAGCGGCTGGCCGCGGCTGCATACTCCGCCCCATTTGCCAATGCGCGTGTGACAGCGAGTACGCGGTCAGTTGTAAATTTTTACAACAGGCCGCGTGTACCGCGTGAAAAATGATGCTAAATTCAGAGATTTTAATAGAAACAGTGCAAAATTGTCCAGTACTTTATGATAATTCGCATCGTGATCACAAAAGCATTAGTAGTAAAACAAAATATATGATAATATTGCTGAATATAATAAAAACTTCGTCACGGTTTGTCATGTTCATATGTCCGATCGTAACACAGACACCTCAGCGAATGGCGCTTCAGGCCGTCACTTAGGCCGCGGTGGTGTGTTGTTACAGCGGCTGCAGCCGCGGCCCGCGGTTAGCCGCCACCGCAAGCCGCTTGTGTGTGGGAGACGCTTTAAGCGTCCACTCCATATTTAAAAATGAGTAAAATTCTAAAAAGTATACAGTTTAATTTTCATGAACAATTTGAAATTCGAATTCAATAAACTTTTTTTGTGGCCAGCATTCTAAAAGAAAAGTTTTTACTGTGTGACAATACTTATGACCTGACTAGGTATAATATGAAAATATCGCTCGGTCGATCGAAAAAATATTTATAGCTTGAGATGTAATATATATTATAGCTCAGTGTAAACGGTTCCATATGAAATGTATGGTGAGCGATATTAATTTATATCATGAGATGTAATATATGTTATATTATATCCCATAGTGAAAAGCGGGCTTTAAGGTGAAAGCGCCAGGGTGGCCCGCGAAATTCAAATTTTCTTACGTTTTTTGGACTTTACAGGTCAGGTTCAGGTCGAATGTTTAACAAAATATTATTCGCGACCATAACGAGTACGTGTTTACAGAATTATTATCATTAAAATCGCCAATACAACCCTCCAAGTTCATACAATTCCTTTGAATGAGTTTTTCTGAAAATAGCCACACAATAGGATTATACGAACTTAGGGGATTGTATTGATGATTATAATTCTGTAAATACATACACGTCACGAATAATATTTTATTAAACATACAACCTGACACTGACCTACAAATTGCAAAAAACCGTAAGAAAATTTGAATTTCGCGGGCCAGCCTAGAGCTTTCACCTTAAATGTCTTTGTATTTGTATACATATAATAAATTTGTAGAAGTCGTGTCTGTAATTCTAATATTTTCTAGAAAAAACAATTCCAGGAGACTAAATAAAGGACACTGAAGCCAAATTAGTGGTTTTAAGAATTTTTGTCTGTCTGTCCGCTTAAATGTGTATTTCCGATTCACACAAAAGTACTAGACGGATTTCCATGAAATTTTGTGTAGGTAGTTAGGGATCCGGGGCAACTTATAGGCTACTTTTTATCCGATTGCGGAACTTCAAAAAGGAGAGTTAAGTATTTCACTTCCTCAAGATGTTAATTTCTATCTTATATTATTGATGTGTTTTTTTTTAAAGTAAATAACATATTTATAAATAGAATATTACTTTTTTTTACTTTTAATGACACTTATAAAATAGTTTGTCATGTATTAATATAGCTTTCATATTTTCAGACATACCTACCTACTGAGATTTTTGTGACAGTGCCGGTTTCCTATAGCTGACATGAATAAATGAACGCCCTCTTGCGAAAAAGTATTATAAATATCAGAGACAGCAAATTTTAAACGCATGTTTATTTTTATTTTAACTATGAGTAAAACTACATTGATAGAATCTTGAAAGTTATCCGGTAATCCAGCCGATCCAAACGTAAATTTCATAGTACGTAAGCAACCCAAATTCATTCCGTACCGACACCACTCATATTTTAATTGCAATTTGAAGTTTAGATTTACCACGTTTTCGGTGGTGAAGGAAAATATCGCGAATAAACCTGCATATTTGAGAAGTTAAAAAATGTTTCGGAAATCAATTTTAGGTATACTTATGTGAAGTCAGTCAACCCGCGTTGGAGTCAACTCAACTTTTGTTCTAAAATTCGCTACAGCCTGTCCCCAGTAGTGGGATGTATGTAGGCTGCTACTTTTTACTTTTAATAGCAACATACATATCCACTGCTGATCATAGGCTTCTCCCATTGTTTGTTAAATAGACCGGATATTTGCAGTAGTATCCACGCATGGCAAGTAGGTTGGCAACCGCAGCTTTTTATTAATCTGCACTTTTTTGTTTTTATTGTTATCAGAAAGATGCTGCCATCCATCTCCTGTTTCATTTTCCCTTCTGTCGCCTCTTATGACACCCACGAGACGAAATGATGTATTGGTTTCTATTTCGCCGCCTCTACGGTGCTAATATATTTCTACTCCTGTTCATAATTTCGATTCCATCCATAGATTACGAAATGAGTTGGATAACCATTGATTAGCCGTTGTTGCCACGCTTGGCAGGCGGGTTGCCAACTGCATCTTTTTATACTTTTGAGCTGTAATCAGAAAAACGCTGCTGCCCATCTTCTATAATATATTTCTACTCCCGTTCATGAATATAGTTCCTCTAACACTTTCATCTACATTTATGAAATTTTAACTTTAATTGGAGTAGTATTAATGATATTTCTAAATTGAAGCCAACGTGAACGAAGCCGCGAGTAAAAGCTATTGTTAATAAATTTAAGCGCTCATTTACTCCGTGCTCGGCGGCGAAGGAAACCTGCATGTCTAAGAAATGAAACATTTCGGGGACACATCAAATATGCCAACAAGAATCGTAATGTTGCAGATATTTCTTTGCCCTAAAATACTTTTTTTACGTGGTAGAGCCATGCTGCAACTATATTAGTAGTATAGTTATTATAGCACGAATGGGTCGGCTCGACCGGGGAAGGACCACGCTCTCACAGAATACCAGCGTAAAATAGCAGCTTAACGCTGCTGTGTTTCGTATGGTGAATGTAGAGAACTGGAGACCCTTTTTACTTGCAAAGAGGCATTCCATCTTAGTCCTCACGGGTGAGAACGCATCTGCATTTTGTTTGATGTAGATGTCTATGGACCGCAGCAACCACTTACCATCAGGTGGACTGTGTGCTCGTTTGTCACCCTTATCATGTAAAAAAAGGCGTTTTTTTTATAAACAAAGTAACTTTTTTCTCTAACACACCAATTTGCCCTGCCCTTGTCATATTCGTGCAATCCTGTCCATTCATTGGTTGTCTGGAAGAAATTGCTATCAGCAATAAGACCGCCCATTGCATACTTCTTTTATATATAGAATTTCTGTAATTTACGTATGGTGTGCAATAAAGAATATTAAATAAAAAAAAATAACTGATAATGTGACTCAAAATAAAACATATAAGTACTTTGGTTTCTTTTTATTTGAGTTTAAATTAGCTTCTATTAATTGTATCCAATTTTCGTACTGCTTATTGTCTTCTTCAGTCAATTCATCGCAAAACTTATCTATATCTTCATCTTTCACGTCCTCTTCTGTTAAAATATCAGTGGTCTGCTCTTTTCTTTTTTTATGCGTTTTTACATTTTCTGTAACTGTAATTGAAGGCGTTACTGGAACTTCTTGCGGTTCATCTTCTACAAATATTATCTTTTTAGGTTTTCTGCTGCTGCTACTTGTTTTAACATCACCAACAGACTGTTCGCCAGCGTTATTGACATCCACATTTGTATTGTTTTCAAGATCCTTTGTGTTTAAATCTTTTATTTTTTTATCTTTTTTTTTCTTAAGTACAACTTCATCGCTCTTAGAAATATTTTGAGCTTTCCTTTTATTACCCATTTTCTGAAAGTAAAATTGCTTAATTATTATATGAAAATAAAGATAAAAATTAAAGAAAAATAATTTGTTTGCCAAAACCATAGAGGTACAAGACACAGCCATGGAAAATTATATTCCCATTGCTAAATTTATATAATGGAAATTGTACGTCGTAGAGGTACAGGTAGGTACAAAAGTACAAAAAAGTTCTTCACTCGATGCGATGAAACCACTACGCTGATATGCAATGATGAATGAAAATTGGATAATACAGTCTCGAGGGCAATTGAATAATGGGAACCGTTAGCTACTAAAAGTTATCAAGTATATTTTACTGTATAAAGCGTGACATGAGAATTTTTTTAGAGGAGCTATCCTCCTATCTCCTCTAAAAAAATTCTCATGGCACTGTCTTGGCAACTGAGCGGTTAAGCTAGTCAATATTTGTGTGTGTGGACGTTCTGTGGTATAGTTTTATAGATTGTCTTACGACAGAGTTCATTAGAAATTTGTACGTATAAGGTCATCTATAATGGTGACCTTATACCTATAAATTTTTAAAACTAGCCTATCAAAAGTCCACTGCGGAACACCTCCATAACACCCCTATAGATTGCCTCATATGGGGTATAATTGCCACAGTTGCCATGCTTGGCAAACGCAGTTTTTATTTTTTATTCAGGTGTTATCAGGAAGGTGCTGCTAGCCATCTCTTGGTTTAGCTTCCCTTTGTCGCCTCTTACGAGACCCACGGGATGATATAGGAGTACTACGACTACACGGTAACGATATATGAGAAAATTAAAATTTTATAACATAATTAAAACGATATTTAATTCGTGACTATTATGTAACGCACAGTTTGCAGACGCTACTGTTTTCTTAATTCGGATTTCTTAATGTAAACATAATAAAATTGAGGATTTTACTGTTTATTTATTTATATTTATACATCTTGAAATAAACTTAACTCAATTTAACTTAGTTTTTTCGTTATTGGCATATCACGGATGCATATGATAAACATTCTAATTGACATAACGTATACAAATAGCTTAAAATATTCGACCAGATCGCGGTTTTAGAGACGAATAAATGAATTGTTTAATTTGCTTTGAGTTGTAATTTGTTATACGCATACACGTGTGGAAAAAAAAACTACGTTGGGTATAGAATACAGTTACAGTTCACAAATTGAAACTGATTGAAACTTGTCGTCAAGTTTCAATCAGTTTCCACATTTCGTGATTTCATCAAAACTTGTTTTTGTTCTTCAACTGAACAGCCCAGAAATTGCGTTATTGAACGCCACGTTTAATATTTTGATTAATAACCGCAATCTTACACGTATTGTATGTACCCTAGTTCATGGTTTTTTTTTAATTAATTTATATTATTATGGTATTTTATAATTCGTTTACAGAAAACATGACAATATCGGTCATATGTCACAACCATAAATACATATCAGAGTTGAAATCTGGTATAACTAAAATTTGTATATTTTATTTATCGCGTTTATTTAGTTTTGGGCGCTTTACAGCATCCATGATCACTAGGGTTAAACCCCGGGTTGGTTTAATTGTTGCACTGTGAAACTGTTTACGATCGTCACAAACGTAACAACAGATTTGATAGACTACAAATTCTCGCCAAAGAAATCCGATTGCGCCCCTTGGCTGATTCACGAGATTATTGAAATTAAAAAAATCATAATTTCAATAGAAGAGATTGCTGGCTGCTATATCTGCTCGGGATCTACTAGGTATAAGCGCTAAGACAAAAATAAATCGCCTGTTTAGCAGTTTAGGTTAAATGCCCTAGTATTTATAGAACAAAAACTATTGAGTGGATCATGATTTAGAAGTGCAGACTAGCTTCGAACTCACCACTTGATTACAGTTACACCAAATCCAAGACAAACTGATCGAGAATACCAGTCATGTAAATAACATTACCTGGGCGATCGAGTTTTGCTCAGCGTTAGAAAAAAATAATTTTCTCAGGGATTACACCCATCTAGAAAATCTTTAATGACACTATGATCTCAGAATAAATCTAAAATAATACTAAGAACAAAAAAATTATGTACGTAGATGATTTCTGAGGCGAAATTACCAATCATATTGCGCAGTGACGTGTCTGCTTGTTGCTTTGTGCGTGAAATGAAAACACTGGTACTTAAACTTAAACGTGGTAGAGCCATGCTGCAGCTATATTAGTAGTATAGTTGTAGCACGAATGGGTCGGCTCGACCGGGGAAGGACCACGCTCTCACAGAATACCAGCGTCAAATAGCAGCTTAACACTGCTGTGTTTCGTATGGTGAGTGTAGAGAACCGGAGACCCTTTTTACGGGAAAAGAGGCATTCCATCTTGGTTCTCACAGGTGACAACGCATCTGCATTTTGATTCGCAAACGAGGATAAATGTAGATGTTTATGGGCTACAGCAACCACTTACCATCAGGTGGACTGTGTGCTCGTTTGTCACCCTATCCTATAAAAAAAAAACTGTGAAAACGAATTTTCCCAGAAATGAATCGATTTTTGTTAATACCTTTATAGATATAAATATAGATATCATATCATAAATTTTTAATGAATCGTAGAATCTCTCGTTGATTCTGCGCGGGGCAGAATACATACTTATAATAAGTAAATTGTCTAAAGAGTAAAATGTTTTATTTCAATATATGAAGTTAATTGAAGCTGCCGCTATTTTATTTTCATAATTAAGGGGTTTTGATGGTGGTTGTACTCGAAATATTTTTTTAGACGGGCAGGTTACTTTATGATGTTTCCCTTCTCCACCGGGCGAGTGGTAGTTTTAACTCCTAAAAATACCACCGGGCAAGTGATAGATCAGCTATTAAAAATTATAATTATTAATATTAATAATTCCATATATAATAATTCAAATTAAAGACAAGTGTGCAGTCTCTGGGGAAGTGCTACAAAGGTGGTTGATTTTTCAACCGACTTAAAAAAAAGGAGGTTACAGTTAGAATGTATTTTTTTATTGTGTACCTCCGAACTTTTTTGTAGATGAACCGATTTTGGTTATTTTTTTTTTGAAAGCTAGTGCTTCTCTTGTAGTCCCATATAAATTTGATCAAGGTCTAACCAGTAGTTTTTGAGTCATTTTTAATAACTTATATTGAAGTCAGTTGTACAAAATTTTATAATTTTACCAGTAGTTCAGACTAGGTTTATAAATGACGATTTCAGCTCTAATGTATTAGTTTTCATTTTTTTTTACATTTATATGGGAAACAAACTTACACACCGTGATATAGAGCATTAGTTCTCCACCAATAAGTGTACAAATTCTACAGAGCTGCTATATTTCTGTTAAATTTGTAAAACTGAGAACACTCACTATTTCGGTATTTATATGGAGACAACGAAAATATGTCAATATTTTTACAAACATGCAGTTATAATATACTTTTTTTATAGAATAAGGGTGACAAACGACCACACGGTCTACCTGCTCTGCTGCTGTCCACATGCTGTGGCCTATAGCCATTTACATTTATCCTCATTTAAGAATCAAAATGCAGATGCGTTGTCACCTCTGAGGACTGAGATGGAATGCCTCGTTTCCAGTAAACTTGCATAATACTAGTACATAATTAATAGAATCAGGCGTTACTTTGCGGAAGTCCATTATATTAAAGTGCATTGCATTATATATAAGAGCACCTAGTGTAGTGGTGCTGGGATTAGTGGTGACGGTGATAGTGCACGCAATTGAGGGAGGGCGGGAGATGCTCTTCAAACTAGGTAAGACACATCATTTTATTTTATCGAGCTGATGTACGCAAAGTAAAATTTTGCTAACTTTAATAATACTAGTACGTTCAAAATACAACGGCGCAAGTTCATCAGCGTTAATTCTGCAACATTCATTAATTCATTACAGCCTCCTAAGTTTCATTTCTTAGACACTTGGCCCTTATCTAAAAAAAATGCGATATCTTCATCTATACAAATAAATAAAATTGAAGTGTCTGTTTGTAATGTCAAAATAACAGCTTTTTACTTATTGCATGTGAAAGTATATACGGTAATTATAACAAAAATACAATTTTTAGAAATTTTGTCTGTCTGTCTGTTTGTTCCGGCTAATCTCCAAAACGGCTGGACCGATTTCGACGGGACTTTCACTGGCAAATAGCTGAAGTTATAAGGAGTAACATAGGCTACTTATATTTTAGAAAAAGAATTAGAGTTTGGCGCAACATAATTAAAACCCTAAATTATACGCGGGCGAAGTCGCGGGGAACAGCTAGTTTAATATAAAGTTATTGAAGTTTTAAGAAACAACTCCTTTTATACGGGGTTTTTCACTAGGTCAACAGCTGTACGTCGCTTGCTCTCGCGTTACTAACCCAAATAATTTATATATTTTACATGTGAAAACTTTCTTAGTATATCAAGCAACGCGGACGAAGTCGCGGGTATCAGCTAGTCGTAAATTATTACAATATTAGCGATTGTGATATATTAAAGCGTTCAAGAACATTCGAAAATTTGTTGAGAGCAATAGTATAAATGACATTTTTTCGTTTTTTTAAATCATATTCTTGCATTGTCATCCGAATTTGAGCTATATTCAACATTTCAAGTTTCCAGCTCATTGGGAAGTTAGTTTAAAATCAATCACTAAATTCCACCCGGAAAGACGTACAAACAAGAAAGTGACTTAATAAAAACGTGGTGGTAATAAGACAATTTGAAATGAAACAAAATAAGACAATTTGAAATGTTATTAAACCGTTTTAAGGAATTCGTTCTTCATGCAATGGATTTTATTTTAGTTTTTTAAATACATAAATCTTTCATTGTTTTCTGATACCATGTGCTCGACGGTGAGTCATAACAACTTAAATCATATTGTGATTGGAACCTAGTACACGGTAAAAACGGATTACTTAAAAAAATATAAAAAGTGCTTTTACGTTGCATCAGTGGAGTAGCGTGCCTTAGAGGGGCACTGTATCAAAATTCGTCGGG